GATCCCTGAGAGACAAGGACAGAAAACAAGAGGAAGGCTTAGCAGTCACACTGGACAGCCCTTCCGCTGAACCACAAGGACCTGTCATTTGGGGCTGTTCTCAGAGAGCTGGGAAAGGAGGAGGCAGCACCGCCGGGTGTGTGTGTGTGTGTGTGCGCGTGCGCGCGCGCGCGCGCCTGTAGCTACAAGATCTGGTAGTTCTCTGGTTCAGATGGAAGCCAGAGAGACAGCTCTGGTCCTTCAATCTAGGTGAGAGGAGAACACGTTTTTGCAGCCATCAGAGGAAAGGCACTCTGTACATGTTCAGAGGGGCACTGCTCTCTATCACAGCGGCTGGCAGCACAATGCCTAAGGGGGCAGTGGCCCCTGTCAAAGCTCCCTCCTTGCTCCAAGCCCCCCTTGCGCTGCTTCTCCAGTCCACCGTGCCCAGCCACGAAAGCGGGGCAGGAGAGGAGGACGAGGCCAGGCAGCGGCAGAAGCACCAATGGGAGGGGAGAAGGTGACGTCTGTGCTCAAATGCTATTTGCACATGCTCAGGGGTCACTGACTGGATGGAATACTACTTTCCTTCACACCTGCTTGGCCCTGGGGTGAATGGGTGGGAATCCCACCCCACCCTCGTCTTTGCAGGTAGAACAGTTCCAGAATGGAGCCTGAAAGTGGAAAGTTACCGGGGCTGGAGCTGCGAGGACAACTCCCTTCTGCCAGAGAACATGAGCCCTGGTGCGGATGACCGAAGGCTCTGCTTGCCACCGCGTTCTCCCCCGGCTTACTGCAAACGTGCCGAGCCCCATGGAAACCTGACTGAGTTCTGGAAGCTGCTAGCTGCAGCCACGCAAACAGGCAGACCTCCCTGCCACACGTCTGCTGGGGAAGAACAAATTGTTCTCTGGGGCGAGCCCTTCCAAGCTCTTCCGCATGCCCTCGACATGCCCCGACATGCCCCCAGCCAGCTCCCCAGGGCTTCAAGCTCTTTCAGCCCTGGGTTAGCCTTGAGGACTAGAGACTTGCTTTAAAAAGAAAAAGGATGCCGAATCTTATGCACAGTGCTAGTGGTTGCATTTGCATGGAGTGATTAAAAATTGCTCATTATTGGTATTAATAATGATGATAAATGCAGCACATGTGTACCAAGAATCAACCCCACAGCGTGCCTATGGAAATGGACAAGGACGTCTCATTCATATGCTCTTTGCTCCAGATAAGTGGCAACCAGAGACGAGGAAGAGACACCTTGCTGGTGTTCAGAAACTGCCTTACTCCCTTGATGATCTCAGCATAAATCTTCACACCTGGGAAACAGGTTCTGGGGCAAAACCTTGGCTCGCGTAACTCTGTGCACGCCACAGGGACACTATGCTCCTTTGTGGAGAGTCAGTGCGAAAGCCACTCCGTTGATGGGAGCAAAGTCCCACACTGCAGGGGAGGGAGAAGAGGGTCTGTGGGAACAGTGGGGCACATCCCTTGCTCCCTGGGAGCAAGGCCAGCTGGATCTGCCACCCGCTCTGGTCCTCAGCAAGCCAAAGATGGGGCAGCTAAACCATGTTCTACCCCACACTCCTCTCCATGCAGTCCCGGCTTCACCAGGGCTTGCTTAGCCTCGATCGTCCGAGTCCAAGCTCTCTTGAGGGGCTTTGGCTGATCCTGAAAACTTGTAATTGTGCTCCTTGATCTGCAAAGCTGTGCACAAAGCCCCAGTCTCCAAGCCAGTCCCCTTTGCAGAAAAAAAGCCTTGATAATTTATCTTTTCTTCCCCACACTAAGCAGCAATCTAAAGATAACACACCCCAGCACCTTCTCTCCCTGCTGTATCCTCAGTAATAAATGAACAATGAAATACTATCACTTAGCCAATTATTATCATGTATCTTATCACGCTGCTTTTAGGACTTTGCTTACTGTGCTCTAAAGTTAGCAAAAAGCCACTTTTAAAGTATTCCAAGTTAGCTGGGAGCAGCAAGAAACCAGTCCTAGGAATAATTACCTAGTTATCACACTGAAGTTATTAATGTATTACTAAGCCTAGGATGATAACAGGGGCTACGGGGATGGTACAACACAGGGCCGTTGCTTCCCCGTCAGTATGCCATGTCTGAGAGCTTACTAAGGTATGAGAACAAGGTGGGAAAACAGGGATCGGAGAGTTCTGGGGAAGGCTTGGCTCTGATTAAGACTCCAGGGCCTTGGTATGCTTGGGCGAGGTTCTACTGAGAAGCCACTCCTCTTAGGAAGACCTCCCGGGGCGGACGGGCGGGGGCACAGGCACCTCTATCAGCGAAGGGGTCAATGCGCATCGCTTAGCCTCTGTAATTGGGCTAAGGCTGTAACTGTCACTCTAGTCCCCAGTGTTTATGTAACAGGTATAATTGTTTAATACTCGCTGGAGAACACACACAGGCCATGTCAGTGGCTTCAGAGGAGCCGATTAGGGAAGGCTCGGGGTGGGGCTGGCCGGCAGACCCAGCCAGCTGTCTCTGCACAGGGAGGATGTGTGCGCGTGTGTCTGGATGTGAGCACAGCAGGCCCGTGGGGTGGGCGGATGCAGGCGGCCCTTGCTCCACGTAACAGCCGTGACAAGTCAGCAAGGGAAGCCCGAGGCTGAGAGGCATTTCAGGGGTTTGAAGCAGAGGCAGCTTGACTTTTAGGTAAGGCCTCTCCAGATGTTGCTGGACTGCAGCTCCCATGATCCCTCACCGGTGGCCAGGCCCGATGGGAATGAAACCTTCCCCCTCCCCATTGAAGGAGGGAGTATGGGAGAAAACACAAGGGCACTTGCATTGCACCAGCTTTTCTACCCCCTGCCTCTGCAAGTTGCATCAAGTGGGGCGTGTGGGTGCCAAAAGTTTAATCTGATCCCTTGCTGCCCTGTGTAAACGAAAACAAGACGGACCTCCCGAATGCGGGTAGTTTGGCCCTCAAGAAAATGTTCATGCGCAGGGTCTGTTTAGTCTCTCTGTGCTTTTTAACAGGAAAGAGGCCTGTGGGAGAGGCCTTTGTTCTGGAAACGGCAATTTTCGAGGGGGTGTGTGTGGTTTTTACAGGTGCGTTGCAAAATGACTGAAGCATGGAGCACTGAAAAGCTTGAGCGTGGTTCATTTCAGCTCGCTTTTCCGTGCGCAAGAGTCACAGTGAGTTCAAGCCATGTCCGAGGGCAGTTTCCACTCCCTCTGGATGGGCACATGCCGTGTCCCCTGCACCCGCCAGCACCATGGGGAGTTAGTGAGTAACCGGACGCCAGCCTTGATGCGGCCATTTCTCACGGCTTCGCACCCAGGCGCCCCGAACATGGGAACACAGAGAGCCCGAGGCAAAAACTGCGAGCAGGAGCAACTGACCATGCTCGACTTGACCCTGTGACTGCAGAGGCAGGTCACGATGACATGACTGTGTTGTCAGGTAGGTACAAGCGCACCTCAAACCTGCTCTCCAGATGGATGCATTCACATGGGGAGTCCATGGAAGGATGTGCAGGTCATGGAAGGTCAGTTGCATGAGACCGACAGGTTCCCTCTGCTCTGCTTTAGACTCCTGACTTTGGGGGGTCTTTTCATGCCAGTAGCCCACCCAAGAAATGGCGAAGCAGGAAGTCAGGGCTGTCAATATTCTGAACATTAAAGAAGGTAATATTTACATTCTGCTCCAAGCCAGCAAACTGGCTCCAGGTGAAAAAGGGTAGAGGGGAGAAAAATTGAACTGAACATCTATTGCCCGGAAGGGAAGCTGGTGAGCTACTCATGCCAGAAGTAAACCATATTGAATATCCCTTATGCAATTTAGCAGCGATGCAAGACGGAGCGGACAGACACCGAGCCTGGAATGCAAACACGGAAGGCATGAAATGTGGGTGGGACCGCTGCCAGATTAGAGAGGCCATCAGTTCAGCTTGCATCCAGGTAAAAAGAACAGCTTTGAAAAGGAAATGGACGGATGGATGGATGGACGGATGGATGGAGAGACGGACCGACAGATCGTCAGTGCTACCCTATTCATCTAACTAATGAACAAAAGAAGAGCTCTGTGGGACCAGTGCAGAGCTCCCTCAGGCGCAGCGTTCTGTCCTCAGAGTCTCCAACCAGCTGCCCATGGCAGGCCCTAAGTGGGACATGAGTGTAAAAGCTTCCCAGCGGTGGTTCCCCAGTGCCGGTGCACAGAGGCATGCTCTGTCTTGCTCCCAGTTCCATTAGAATTCTGAAGTAATTCATGCTCTCAAAGGCCTGGGGGAGTGGGTTGATTCTGCACACTTGTCAGCCTCTGGAATTCCCTATGGATATCGCCGGAAGGCTTGCCTGGGCCGGGGTTCTAGTCTGCAGTGCGTTTAGCGCAACGGCTTTTTCTCACACACTGCCTGGCATGACATGCCCGAAATGAGCGGAGCGCCTTACCGGAACGTCTTTGCCCAGGATGTCTGTCCGGCTGTCCGTCCGCTCCCACTGCTGGATCGAGCAGCGGCTGGTGGGGCGCAGCGTGGGGGTGATGACCTCGGGGGTGGCACTGTGAAACCCGGGGGCCGGGGAGCGTCCTCCCTTGCGGCCGTAGGACTCCAGGTAGTCCTTGACGTAATCCGAGTGCCTGGCTGACTGGTAGAGGCCCTGCAGAGTGCACAGCTCCTGGCGCGTGCGGGCCACGAAGGGCCCGCGGGTGGACGAGGACGGCTCGGTGCGGTACGGGTCGGACGACAGCTGCATGCCAGAGAGGTCCCGCGCGAGATCCGAGTGGCTGCTGGACTTCTTGCGGCCCAGGGTGGTGGCGCCGTAGCCGCTGGTGGTGGCGCTGCTGAAGGAGTAGCCGGTGGAGCCCCCGCTCAGTCCTCCGCTGCCGGGGGGCCTCATCGGGACCCGGCTGTAGGTGGGGCTCAGCTGGGTGCCGGAGTCGGGGCGCTGGAGCAGCCGCCCTCCACCGTCATAGTGCAAGGACGAGGACGAGGTGGCAGCTGCAGAAGTCCGCAGGTGAGCAGAAGCCAGGTAGCCGGCGGCCGTGGCGGGCTTGTAGCCGACCTTCTCCTTGTCCGGGTAGGAGGAGGAGAGGTTGGAGGAGTAGGAGGCATAGCTGCCGTAAGCGGTCGAGGCCTTGCCGTATGAGGAGGCGTCAGAGTAGCGAGGAGAGTCCACATAGCGCTTCAGGGCCGAGGAGAGCTGAGACATGCTGAGGGCCGGCACATCGGGGGTCGTGCTGGTGGCATTGGCTGGAAAGACAAGAGCGGACACAGCGGCTGAGGGCAGCTGGCCTGGGGACCACGGGAGGCCCGCTGGCAAAGCCTCCGCCACGCGACCGCCAAGGGTCCACCCACACCTGCGTGCCTGGGGGGAGTTTAGAGTGACCGCTGGGATGGAAGGGACAGAAGTCCCACTGGGAGAGCAGCAACATGGGGGCCAGTTTTTACCTTCGTGGCAACGAGTATCTCCCCGCAGCCCGGCTTAATCGCCCTGCAGGGAGAGACCGTTGGGGTGAGGGGAGAGGCATTGCACATGGGAGGAGACGCAGCCCTTCCTTCCCACAGAGATCCCCCAGGAAATGCTCCCACCCCACAGCGAGGCAGCTGCGATTAGGACAAGTCCTTAACTGGCACCAGTGGGAACATGGCTTTTCTTCCCTGGATTGCCCTGCTGGAGGTCAGAGGAACTGCCGCACACGGTATGCGGAACATTATAAGCTCTTTGCACAAGGAAGCAAGTACCGGACGCTGCCAAAGTGCCTGTCTGCAAGACGGGGCTCTGCACTGCCTCCCAACTCGCCGAAGCAAACGGTCCCTTAAAGACGGTTTTGCTGAATAAGATGCAGCATAAGATCTGTCAGTGCAACCGGTAAAAGCCAACATGGTGAGCCACAGCTTAAGTATTTTGGGTGGTGTCCACAAATGTTTCTCCTGGGTCCGGAAAGCTTGGGGGCCTTTGCTTCCTGCTGTCCCCATCAGGCCAACAGGCCTTCTTGCTTCTAAGTGACCACTTTTGGCACAATGAGCTTCTCTACACGAGGCTGCCGTGTGCGCTTTGGGTTCTGCCACAGAAACCGATCCCAGCGCATGTCTTTCTTTTCCCACAGCAGAGCCATTGGGTGGCACTGTGGTTTGGCAGAACAGCGCAAATATGTTAGCAGAAATGGTGTTTCCTTTTCCATTTAATAATGCTGTATTTTCCTGCTTTGAAAGGGGCCTGCACACAGTTTCTTTAAAAACAGAAGCAAAACTAGATGGTCAGAATGTTGTCTAAGAACTTGCAGCTAATGGTGAGCACACGCTAAATGCCTCCTGTAGAAAAGCTCTCGTTCTGTCGGCGTGGACCACTTGCTCTTAGAGGGAGTGATGCCCACATGGGACCTCAGGTTCAGAGAGAGGAAGCCCCTGAAGGCCAGTTGCCTTCAGAATGCTAGACAAGACAGACTTCTTCTTGGACCCTGCAGGGCCCTTCACAAGTTCTTAGGAGGAAATGCTTGCAAGTGCAGCTTGTCACCAAGAAATGAGAAAAGGTGCACCTTCTAAAATTCCATCTCCTGAGCCACTAGGACCAAACACCCAGAACCTGGGGATCTTTTGCACGGGTCCCTGCAGCTACAGCACGGATCCTGTATCTTCCAGATCAACAGCCAACTCATTTCTGTCATGAACTCATACACAGTCCTGCAAGATGCTTTGCAAAAATGTGAAACACGCACACAGAGTATGGACATAATTCTTTCCTCGTCCCCCCCCCCACCCACACACAGCTGGGTGGGTGCCATTACAATCAGAAATGGCAACTGCATTCTGCCTATCTATCGGAACTCTTAAACCCAGACACCTGAAACTTAGCATGCATGCCAGCGGGGGATCTAAGGCCAGACCTCCTATGGCTATTTTTGATGCATTAATACTTTTAAATTAATTTAAATGAGAGTGTATATTTGAAGCATGCAGTGCCAGATTCAGTTACTAGGTGGCAGACATCCTTAACTAATGAATAGCATGACAGTCCGTAGTTTGATTCCAGAGCAGAGTAATTTGATAGACAGTCATATACTTTCTCCCTTCCCAACATTTTAGGCAGGAATTCTCAGGAGAACCCTGTAGACAGACCTTTTCCCAGGCCTCTCTTGGTGCACCAGAGAAGGGGCTGTGGTTGCCCGGAAAGCTTCTCTTGATCAGGCAAATGCCCATTCCAATCTATGCAAAGCTGGGTTTGTTTTCTAGTTTAAAAGGGAGAAAAAAACAGCTGCCGGCTCCACAGGGGTTGTGTGCAGAGACTAGCACCATGGAGCCAGCTTTAAAGAGGGAACAGCAGGTGACATAAACAGAAATTCAACACCCAGCCTGGCTTCTTTACCAGATTGTGTTTACAAGCTCCTCAAGGCGATGCAAAGACACTGGCCCCCCCTGCTGTCCAAGAGCATTTTTGCAAGAAAGCAGGAATTGGTGGAAAACAGTGTGGTGGGATCTTTACCAGGGATTTTTCCTGACTCGCCAAGGTGTCACATGACACTCACCCCAAACAATCTTCCTGTTACATTTCAAATGTCTTCAGACTAGATATATCATGGCTGTTTCATTTGTGGTGTTTTTTCAGTGGTGTATATTCCAGCGTGTGCTAAACTTGGTGTACTGCTCGGGGTGAGGGGTGGGGGTGGAGAAGAGGAGCTGTTTCAGTGGAATGGCGGGCTTGGGGGGGGGGCTGCAATGAGGCTGTGAGGAGGAGAGGAGCCCAATCAACCTTCAGTTGCTTTTCCACCTCCCTTGTCCTCACACAGCATCTTTCTCCCCTCCTCCTCTGATTTGCCCATTGAAGGGGGATACTATTCCCCCCGCCACTCCCTGCATCAGCCACATCCTGATGGCATCCTGTGAGTGAGCAACATTCCCTGGAGAAGACAATCCTGCTAGGGAAAATCGATGGCAGAAGAAGAAGACCAAGATGAAGATGAAGACAAAGAAGAAGAGGGGGAAGAAGGTTCCATAAAGGAAGCCACAGTCCTGACTGTACAAGAGCTGAGCAGGGCGGTCAAGGATGGGACATTTTGGAGAGCTTCCCTTCATAGGGTGACCATAAGTCAGAGGTGACTGGATGGTAGACCACAACAAACGAAGTCTAGTTAGTTTCTCTCTGTGTTTGCTTTCCGCCTACCTCTGTGTTTCTCCCAAGGCAGCGGTGCAGAACCTCAGACTCGGGGGCTTCAGTCAGTCCATCTGGTGAACCAGCCTGGCCCTCTGTGGCTCCCCTCCCCTCCCCTCCCCTGACCACTAATCATTTGGAGGATTCCCAGTTACTGTGGAGCTCCCCACCCCCATTCCAAACTCGTTTCATGCTTTTGTTAAGGCTTTGTCTTTCTCAGCAAGAATTTAAGCTACACTGTGCTGGTATTTGGGGGCTTTGCAACTGCCCCATTCACTACTGGAATGGGGCCCCAGGGGGCTTCTCCAAAACTGAATTTGGCCCATGGGCTGAAAATGGTCTGGAATCTCTTGCCTTAAGGAAGTAGAAAGCTTTAAGAGAGCTTTGACAATTGGGCAGTATAAAAATGCAAGAAACAAACAAATAAACAAACAAAAATACGTTATGGAAGGAATGACAGAACAACTTCACGACGTGTTTTCATTGGTACGGCTAGAAGGCCTCTCTCTGGAAGCACCTGTTGATCTTGTTCTGTGCTCTGCCTAAAATTAAATCTCACGCTCCGTTAATATCACGAGCCACATAGTTCGTTTCTCTTCGCTTCGGCTCACTGCCTCCCAAGTCCCTTCCCACTGTCCAGATCCAAGCAAGTGCTGGCTTTCTATATCTTTCAACAAGTTACAATGTTTCAGGAAGCTTAAAACCATGTTTCACTCAGCTAAAAACAAAAGCAAAACCCCCACGTACCTCAAAGTGTTTCTCAAGTAAACTAAGGATAATTGATCTATTGTAACAAACAGTAACTTCTCCCATTAAAGCAGCAGGCAATGGCAGCAGTCAGAAGAATGCTCAGGAAGCCCCAGTCTCGCGCCATCTTGACTGGGGGATCGTTCTACGTGATGGGTAACACCACGGAGAAAGTACCAAGTGGGCATTAGGAGACCCTCCTACTCTGTGTAAATCCTCTGAATGCAAAGCCTGGGACATCCTAGAGAGAGGAGGTGGTCCCTTAGGTCATGGGTGGGCACAAGGTAGATGTCCAGCCACTTTGGACCCACGCCCAGAAATCCTGTGAGCATGGCCATTGGTCAGGTATGCTGGGAGGTGAAGTCCAATCACCTGGAGGTCTACCTTCTGCTCCCCCCATCTTAGACAACCTGTTAAGGTCTTATACACCAGCAATAGCATATGGAATGAGCCATGGGCAGAAGCCTAGCGTGCGTTGTAGGAGGTACGGTGGAAATAGCCACAGGTGACCCTTTGTCTTAGCAGCTCTGCTTGCAACATGAAGCCTGCTTGCACCCAGGAACAAGTGGCCTCATTTAATCCACATTGCCTTCTCCAGTGGCTGCTCCTCTTTGGAAGACCGCTAACCATCTCCAGCATCCTCTGATGGACCTCCTCTCTCACCTTCCCCAGCATCACTTTTTGCTTTTCTGTTTGGTTTAGAGCCTCACATGAAGAAACTTTCCCTCAACTTTGGAAGTTTGTCCACAACTGCATGACACGCTGCTTAGCTCTGATAAAACTTACTACCCTACTGAGGCTTTTCAATCCCTTGGGCCCCAAATATTTTTGATTCTTTCTCTCTCCCAGCCCTGCATTGAACAGTTGCTCCCGGTGAACAACCTAAATCTGAATGCGCGCCCCTCCTCTTAGCAGCACACTCGGGCTGGGCTGCCAATAGGAAGGGGGCCAAAATGGGGTCACTGGGAAACTCCCAGCCTCGTGCTCAAGCCAGTCCTGAACTGAACTACATTAGAAGTGCAAGACAAGCCTTTTAAAGCCCCGAGAGACATCTCTTCCCAGAGGCAGCCAAATGAAGGCTCAGCGTGGTCCCTTCCCCGGAGGAGCCATGGGATGTTGAGTGTTCCCTGGAGAAAGCCTTCCACCATGGATGCTGTTTGACTAAGCCCTGATTCCCTTTCCCAGGCCCTGGGTCCACTCCCCAGATTGGCATACTGAGATGAAATCAGCCTATGCAATTTTATGCAGGCCGGAAACCCTTTGGACCTGCCCAGCAAAACTTGAACGTGACTCCTAAAGACTTGCGCTTCACCCAGAAAATGAGGAGTGTGTGTGTGTGTGTGTGGGGGGGGGCAAT